ACTCGTTATCTCTCTGTCGTAAAGTTCAAATCAAATCCGTCACGTAAATAATTCGATTTCTCTTAATCGTTCTCTTTCTTTATCTAATTTTCAATTATCACACTATAGCAAGCTTTAATCCGTTCAACCGTTCTTTTTTAATCTTCATTCTAATCGTTAATAACATTGGGTCTTTGTGGATGTAGTTATACTTTTAGTTACTTAGCAGCGTTTTAGCTTTGTAATTTCAATGAAATTTTGTTGTATGTCGTACGTCATGAACTTATTCCATCACAGCCTGAAGGAGCTGATTCGATTTTTGCCGTTTTCTCACAAACCTCTGTTCCCATACTATTGAAACTAAACCGTGAACTTTCCAATCGGAGACGGATGCCACACTGGGATGGGAAGGTACCGCTAATCCTCTGTATTTCCACGGTCCATGTCGATACATAACGTTTGGTAAAAGAATAAATAGAATTGTTTGAGAAAGAGACAAAAGCCTTTATCTTGATAGGCGGATGCAGCCGCGAGCCCGGGAAGGTCTTGGCGGAACGGTGTCCAAGGCCGACGCCCACGTCGAGAACACCGACGAAGGCTTATTCGACCGACGAACTTGAAAACCGCCGAAAAAGCTCGACCTAAGAGAAAAGCACAAGCTTGGACTAAAAAGCCAGGACGTTTGGAATATCCCACCAGACAGAATAGTTTCTTTAAAAAGTAATTATAGTGGAAAAATGTTTTCAGGGAAAAGAGTAAAAGATATTGAAATGAAAAGAGAATAAGAAGAAAAGAATATGAGCAAATTGTGCAAGAAAAGAGGTCCTTCTAGGTAAAGTTCTACTGGAAAAATATAAAGACTGAAGCTAATTTATTGACAGAAAGAGCGTTTATGAATTAATGTAATTAACAAAAATCATTTATGACTAGTTAACTGTATTACCTGTTCATTATTTCTGGATGATTGTCGCTTTCATTTCAAACTGAGAAAAGTATGAACTGCTTTAATGCTTCAGAATATGAAGTCCTGTGTAGGTATGTTTGTTTCCTTTCTTTTTTTAAGCATGTAAAGTAATGCAAGGCCGCGAGAAAGTGATTGTAACTGGATTCCGGCGGCCTGCGGGTCGAGGCCCTTCTAAAAGTCGAACTAGGAAAGGTACCGCACCCTCTCCGTCCTGATTTCTTGGGCTTTCTACCGTCTTTTCTCCCCTTAGGATGACTTTCAAATATTTTCAAGATATCGTTTCCATTGTTTTTTCAACCTTCCGTTTATATGAACGTTGAAAAGTTTGGCTGAAGGAGCCGAAGCAACCGTGGCCAACCCAAAACACGAGCTTAAAGCATATTTGGATAATTTGATCAAACATATTACAAAATTAAGAGATCCTATATGACAATTGACCGCTTTTTATTTCAAAACGCCAGTACAATACTAGAAGCAGTCCTTAATTCCAAACGCCTTGCTTTTCGTACTCGTCACTCCACGGACATCAGTGTCATCTAGTTGTAGATGCTGCCTCTCTCATGCTTAAGTAATGCTGTCCTGGTATACTAGCAAGTATTTGATAACCTATGGCATATTGGCTGTTATTTAACCTCTTGAGAATTTTACCTTCCACTTACAACCTAGTACTTTGTCCTGCTATCAAACCTGGCAGTCACTTCAATGGGTGTGACTTTAAACCCTGTCTATTTTAACCCTTACTTTCAAAAGGTTGATCTGATCGATCGTCTTGGTCTGCCTATCCTCGCCAGTGTCAGGCGCGTTTTCTCTTTTCAATATCTTCAGTGGTCGTCTGTCAGAAAACATGATTGAAAGCGAACAAACTACGATTATTGTAGTATCGTATTGGACAGCTTTTGGACTACCATTCCTATTATGAATATAATATTACTCAATTGGAATATCTTCCCATGAGACATTGGAAAAACAACGGAATTACCTTTGTCTGGGTACCAAGGCACACAGGACAGAGGGGCAACGAAGAGGTCGATAAATTGGCAAAGAAATTTCGATGAGGACATCTATTAGCCCTGAACCTTTTGCGACATACCAAACTGCCAAAAATGTAGAACCACAAGCCAATGGTCCTCGGTTCAATGGAATCGTGTTCCAAGACATAGAGCATGAAAAAAGGTTTATCAAAAGACCATGGCAGAAACTAATGGCAGGACGTATTACTCTCGAATAATAGTTGTATTGCTGACGACACTGCAAACTCCGATATATATACTCAGAATCTAAGCAGATATTGAAAAAGAAGAAGAGACAGTGGAACATGTCCTCTGTTAGTGCGAAGGCTTATGTCAGCTGAGATTCCTACCCTTGATTGAGGAAAGACCCCGGCTTGAAGGTAGACAAGGGAGTCCTTAACAAAGCTTCGTTATCTGGTAAAAAAATTAAGCTTAATGAGGGGCTAGATAATAATGGAGGTGCTCAATAAACCAATACTGTTGAGTAGGTCGTAAAGACTCATTATAACCTTTCACCTTTAATCTTTAGATAATATCTTGATAGCTTTTTGGTCATCTTATCTTATTTGTTATGTCTGGGAGACGACATTTTGCATGATGATCCGAGCAACAGACAGACCAGAGGCTGTACATCATTCCGCAGACCTCAGGGAGAAATCTCTTCAACTTTGATGGTACAATTGGATTTGAACCCACCACGGAAGATGGCGTGAAGCCGAACGCCTCTCGCACGTCAAACAATGAGGCCTGGCAACGTGATACGGCTAAACTACAGTTATCGTTTTGCCAATTTCAATTGGACGAATTAGATAATAACAGTTCCCCTCAACCTGGTCAGCTTAGCTTGTTGGTTATACATATTAGGCTATGATCGTCTTTGGGAAGGGTTAAACTACAGGTTAATCATTCAATCTATCCGCACACCAAGGAGGAAACCGACATTGTACGTTACCTCGAATTTTCATGGACAAGATACATACTTGACTATCCTCCCTAAAAGACACCAACTGCTCTTCATATTACTTCACCGACAACCCAAACTTTCCCAAAACAATATGGAACAACGAAATATTAAAACTAACTGGACATAAGGACTTGACCTCTAGCGTCAATGGTAAGCTCGAATACCAACACTATCAACAAAGTTATTTCGGAAAATAAACGATGATCCTTTCTATAAAGCAAACGTCACTATCATCACTAAACTCAATATTCCATGCGCTCCAGACCATGCAAGAACTCGATTTCTACTTTAAATTCTATTCATCTTTTTATCTTTTTCACTCACGATACTCCACTAGGCATATCTAACAATCCTTATAGACGTGTGAAAAGATAGAGGTCACGTAATTTCTTAAGTACTGTGTAGTGCTTAATATTGGACCATTGAATGATAACTTCCCCATATAGGCCATGGGAACTTTCAGCTGATTTACTCATGTTGTGTTATGAGTTATTTCAAATGACTAATGAATATTTAAAAAAAGATTGCTTGGGCGAAATAATAAAAGGATGACCATGGATACATCATAACGTAGCCCGTTCGTAATCATTCGCTGTTTTGGGGCTTCGGTTCGATTCGGTCGGTCGCCCGTCCCATCGGACCCATCATCATATCGCCGTCTAGAAAGCCGTTTCGTAACGGATGACTGCTGTGAATTCACAATGGGTTATGAGCGATGAAGCAACGGAACATTGTTGCACCCGAGATTCCCGATAGCGGGCCCGGGGAGGAAAATTTTCTAATTAACACCCCTCCTCGCACGACGTTCTAAATGAGGTTTATTTTATAAAGGTCGGCCGGCGGGTACAAAGAGTCGGTAATTGAGTTTGCGCCCGGAGGGGATTCGAATTATCCCCGTCAGACGGCGAGTTCATTGTGCCGCGACAAAGCCCCATGAAAAGGCCGTCTCGATTGTATACTTTGATGAGCCGAGAAAACAGAAAAGAAGAAATGTAGAAAAACGTCATAATTTTGGGGAGGGTTCGTTCACCGGGTGCGAAGGGCCAGGGTGGAAAGAAAGACCAGCGGTGGGCTACACGCATAAACAAATCTCGTTTGCCGGCTCCGCTTGTCACTGGCTGGGTGGAACACTGTTTTTTTCAACGACGTGTTAGCGACTGAAGAATCTTTTACGTTACTGATCGGATTCGTCTCGTCCGACGTGGAAAATCACAAACGGTCGCAACCACCACATGAGTCCACTTAGTCTTATCTTACTACCAACAGCCAACTAGAACGATTGACTATCAGCAACAATCAAGATTTGGGAATTAAGACGGTCCGGTGTTCTTTTGAGGAGCAGTTGAACGCCGCGAACTAACAAGTTGGCTATGTGCAGTGCTCGGTATGAGCCGGATAGATGTTATAGCTGATGAGTAAGCATTGAACTTTGGGCAGCTGTCAGCCACGATGGCTTTTGAGTGTGCGATGTGTTCATGTTGTTACGTAGCGTTGCTATAGCTAATGTTTGAGATTTGCTACATTAATGATGAAATCTCGTCGACGAGTCTGCTCTAAGCAGGTTGAGCCCCTCTTATTATAGAGGGGTGCTGCATACTGTTGTAAAACAATAAAATGTATATAACCTTCCTTAATCCTTTTTAAAAAAAGATAATTCCTACTCACAGAGTTTTCGCTGGCTTGTATGCACGTAACATAAGTTTTAAGCTTTATTTATTAATTAAGAAAAACACCTTTTTCCCTTTTGCTGGCGTTTCGACCTTTATTCGAGTCATCTTCAGGGTAAAAAGTGTGGTGCTATTCTTGTGGTGTCATATTGGTGTTGTGATGTGATGAAGTCACAGCACTTTCACACAACACTAATATGGCACCACAGTTTATATCCTGAAGATGACCCGAATAAAGGTCGAAACGTCGGCAAAAAAAATTAAAAAGGTGTTTTTCTAAACTACCTCATTCTTGACTGTTCCTCACTAATTGAACAAATTATGAAACATCAAGTCGAAACACACATTTATTTATTAAACTGCCAATTTGCAGTTTGTTTTGTTTGTTTTTTTAATTAGCTCTTTTTCATTTTCAGATAAGGAGTCGTACCGACTGAAATAAATTAGCCAATGATCGGGAAACAAGAAAGATGAGCGAAGGCACCATGGCTGACGACCCGCAGCTCAACACATCCACCACAATAGGTCAGTAGGACGCGCTTCACAACCGTACCGACTAAGAATAACATATTCCTAATCTAGAAATACCCGGAAACGGACAAGTCAATGCGGGCTTCGAGGACACAGAGAACAGGGCGGAGACGCCCAAGACGGCGGACCAAGAAGCCGAGACCCCGCCCGCAGCATCCAAGTACCCGAATGGCACTGAAAGGCTGAACCAGGAGAAGACCAACGGGAATGCGGACAAGACGCAGAACGGCAACACCAAAGCCGCCGAGATCGCCGAAGCCGTCAACCTCGAGCTGGTCAACTTGCAGCCTTACAACAACGGCATACCCGTCAAAAAAGAGTCGACCGAACTCGACATCGGCGACCCTTACGACGAATATTTCGTTCCTGTTAACCAACACAAAAAATACATGAGGTAACTATTTCGATCTCGATGATCTTTTTATATCCAATATAAAATAAACATGACAATTTGGAAAATGGAATTTTTTAGAGGAGAAAAGTTATACGTAACACAAGATAAGAGAAGAAGTATAGGTGGTGGGAAGAAGAAATGTTGCTGGGGAGTTTTAGGTGTATTAGTATTAGCAGTCGCTGTTGCCATATTCGTCGGTAAGTATTTCATCTTTTCGTTCTTTGTTTCGTTAAATAATCGCCGTCTTCCATGCAGGAATAACGCTGTCTCAAGAATCGAACGAACCTGGAGAGAGCAGGACGTTCAAGAACAAGTTCCAAGGAGCAGGCTTCGGAGGAGTCGCACCATCGCCGCCTCCTCGGTCTACTGTCTTACCTCCTAAGCCCACGACTGACGTTTCAGAGATGTTCGGTAAGAACCAGTATAATATTCCATTTTTAGTCATACGATTTGGAAATAATTCCTTCAAAGCCATTCAGAATTAAGAGAAAGTATAAACGGATACGAGGAAAAAAAGTAGATCTAATTTCTACTTCTTAAATTTCTAGTGTCCAGAGTCATCGAAGGTGAACTTACTATCGACAATTTAGGATATTCGCACGAGTTGTCACAGGACAACAACACAGAATTCAAACTCCTTGCTGCGTCATTAGAAAACGAGGTATATTTTTTATTTTATAATCACTTTCATAAAATTATCATATAAAAATAAAACATTTAACAGCTTATTTTTTTATTGGTTGTCAAATATAGTTAAAAGCAGTTCTATTCGACCAATCAGAAATATTAAAGGGAAATCAGGATTTAAATGTGAAAGTCATGTCCTTCAAGTAAGGTTGATAAAGTTCGTCCGTCTTTTCCATGGTTCTTAATTTTTTTTTTTTTTTTTGCAGGACCGGAAGTGTGATAGTGGCGTACAGAGTCGGTTGGGCGTTCAAGGATGCAGAGGCCAGAGATCCCATTGACGCTGAGAGTTTGCAGGCAAGACTAGAATCCCATCTGGTCAGCAACAAAGGGCACATCTACAACTACAGAATACCTATTTCGTCCTTAAAATCCCATAGTGAGCACGTTTTAACAATAGTGGGCTTTACTCCAACTCATTTTATTAACTTTTAGGAGTGGAGAATGAATGTCAAAAAAACAACTACGGGTGTTCTCACAAGTGTTTGTTCAATCAGAATATGCTTGATTTTGCTTGCCAGTGCCCAGATAATTTCAGCTTGAGTGAAGATAAAAAAACATGCACAGAAGGTGAGGTCACTTTTACTTAGGGACATAAATTTTAAATAGCAATGCAGTAAACAGTGTAATTGTTATTGCAGAGGTACAAACTTTTGTGCCTGCATTAGCTCATCCTGAGCCTTCGCCAGAACTAACTGCTGAACCGGAACCTTCTGCAGAGCCTGAACCTTCACCGGAACCAGCTGCAGAACCTGAACCCACGCCAGAACCTGCAGCGGAACCTGAACCATCTCCAGAACCTCCAGCAGAACCTGAACCATCGCCAGAACCTGCAGCAGAACCTGAACCATCGCCGGAACCTGCAGCAGAACCTGAATCATCGCCAGAACCTGCATCAGAACCTGAACCATCGCCAGAACCTGCAGCAGAACCCGAACCAACAGCTGTGCCGGAACCTTCTGCAAAACCTGAACCCTCCCCAGAACCTTCTGCAGAACCAGAATCATCACCCGAGCCAGCTGCTGCACAGGAACCTTCAGCAGAACCTGAACCAGCAACAGAACCGGAACCTTCTGCAGAACCCGAACCATCACCAGAACCAGCTGCAGAACCGGAGCCTTCTGCAGAACCTGAACCATCACCTGAGCCAGCTGCAGAACCGGAACCTTCTGCAGAACCTGAACCATCACCAGAACCTTCTGCTGAGCCTGAACCCTCTCCTGAACTTTCCCTTGAACATAAACCCTCACCAGAACCTGCTGCAGAGCCCGACCCCTCACCAGAACCTACTGCAGAGCCTGAACCGTCACCAGAACCTGCTGCAGAGCCTGAACCGTCACCAGAACCTGCTGCAGAGCATGAAACGTCACCAAAACCTTCTGTAGAGCCTGAACCCTCACCAGAACCTGTTGCAGAACCTGAACCATCACCAGAACCCACTGCAGAGCCTGAACCATCACCAGAACCTGCTGCAAAGCCTGAATGGTCAACAGAATCGACTGCAGAATTATCGCCCATGCGAGTATCTTCAACAGAACCAGAGTCATCACCAGAATCTTCGACACAATCTGAACATTCTGCTAGTAAGTTGGAACCTTTTGCAGAAATGGTACCAGTATCAGAAACATCTGAAGAAACTCAATCCTCAACTGCAGTTAAACTTGAATCTTACAAAACTCTTGCTTCTTCTGAAGATTATTCCTCATCTTCCAAACCTTCAACCCAGTCAACTCCTGATGAGGAAACTGAAAGTGTAGCTAAACAGGAAGAACATCACGTTATTGTTCCGCATGAAATGGAACCATCCACAGAAAGTTTAGACAATTCTTCAACTGAAAAGATCTCACCTGAACCTTCACCTAAGTCGCTGACATTCCCATTGGAACCCACTGAAAACAGCTCAGCTGAATCACAGGAAGTATCAAAGGAACCATTACCAGAACCTTCTCCTGATCATCTTCAAACAGTGGGTACATCAACTGAAGGATCAGTAAGACCGTCAGATGCACCTTCAGAGAAACAGAACACCTCTGCAGATGAAACTACTCAAGACACTTTTAACTTGCCAGTCTTCTCTCCTGAACAAAATGAGACAACAGTGATGAAATCAGAAGAAACCAAGCCAGTACCTGAAGAAAAACCTCAACATATGTTTGAAGAGCTCGTAACTACTGCACTTCCTGAAACCAATGAATCAGAAAACAAACCTGAGTTAGAAGAGACAGTTGATAAATCTGAAACTTCATTCAATTCAACATCTTCTCCTATGATACAAACATCAGAGAAACCAGAAGATAGTTCCACTAAAAAAATGGCTGTTTTGTCTGAGCCTTCGCTTAATGAAACTTCATCTGAAAGTGAATACACTGGATTAAAAGCGAGTACATCCAATAAAATGTTAACTGATATGGAAGATACACGCTTTTTTACCACTATGGAACCTCAGACTGAGGCTATTGAAGGAAGCGATTTACAAAATGGGAAAGTAGGAACCTCAGAAGAAACAGATATTGCTCACAAGTTTGAAGTAAATGGAGATTCTTTAGTCGGAAATAGATACGAAACAACGAAAGAAAATCCTGATAATGGAAATGATGCCAAAGTTTCTACACCACCAGTTGACACTATGAAGCAAAATGACCTTCAGGAAGAAAAGTACACATTTTCTGATGGGGAACTCACAAAATCTGAGTTTTTCAATCATGGCAATCTCTTTACAAAAATCCCTGAACTCTCCGGGCCATTCCCAGTCGAGACAATTCAACCCTCCACTACAGAAGATCCTGCTGTTAGCACTATGGAGGAAAGAAAAAACTTTACAGAAAATGTAACCGAAGAGGTTACTAAGCACAAAGCCGATCTATCAGGAGATGAGCTGAACAGCTTAGACATTGAAGATTACCAAGAACAAGATAAAAACAAATACAAAAAGCCCCTTAAAAATAAGACTTATAAAAATGTTAAAATTCAAGAAGTAATAGTGCCTCATGACAACATTGCAGATAGTGTCACTAAAACTGAAATCGTTGAAGTAAAGCCGGATAATCTGAAAAGCCAAGACGAAAATGTTACTATGACAACATCAGTAGTTGAGGAAGAAAATGCGACTAGACATGAAGAAACTACAGTCCATCCATTGTTCGCAACGAGCTTACAGGATATGATCAAAGCTGTCTCTAAGTCACTTGATTCTAGTTCCGAAGAACCCAGAATAACTGTCGCAGAAACAACACCATCTGTAGAAATGACTACAAATTTTGTAAACATTTCTTTGGTGGATGAAGAAATGGAACAAAACCAAACAGATGCGGTAAACTCAACTGAAACAACTATGTATGGGGATCTCACAACTGTTTTGCCAGAGACGACTTCAGAGGGGGTGCCAATATGGGAAACTGCAAACTCGACCTTTTTCACTGATGTTAACAACTCACCCAAATGTGCATCAGGTAAATTGAGAAGTACTAAAAACAAATAAATGCAGCCAATATTAATTTTTTGTCTTTTTTTAGGAGAGGTTGCTTGCAGGGATGGTAGCAAGTGTTTGAAGCGGATCCAGTTGTGTGATGCCACTGAAGATTGTACAGATGGATCAGATGAAATGGGATGTCAAGCTTCTAAATGTCTCCTCAACTTTCAGGTAAAAAAAAAAATCTGACATTGTCACATTCAATGTTAAAGGTTTTGATATTACTTTTCTTCAAAACTTATTACATCTCTTCTTCTGTTAGAATGCCAATATATATTTTTTAAATTCTGGGTTGAAGAGATTCCCTGATTTTCCTCTTGGGATCTGCAGGGTGATAAACCTGTAGTTTGGGTCTTTGCCTATCATTTTGGTCTGCTTCTGACCATCTTCAGTGGTGGGCCAGGGATATAAGCAGAGTTAGACCCCACTATTGATGATCGCAAATAGCAAAATATTGAAAATTATCAACAACGACCAAACTAATATATTTTTACTTGTCAGTTTAACTACCTGTTTCCTCATCATGTCTACCTAAAATATCAAGGGAATTTTTCACACTATTTGCTTTAAATTAATTAAGGTTTTTAGTTGAGATAAAAAAGTCAATGGCACGAGCGGGATTCGAACCCACGATCTTCGGCTTGATACGCCGCTGCTCTACCACTTGAGCAATCGTGACCTCTATCCACTCGGACACTAACTTCCCATCTCAACCACACCTTTTGAATTTTCTCTCCTTTTTGCCATTTTTCAAATGTTGTGTAATCAACTTGATTCTCGGCGACAAATGAAATTACCACAGAGAGCTTTAGTGAAGTATACTTAATTCATTTCACTTAATTTTATCTCAACTGAAAACCTTAATTAATTGTAAGATATTAATTGGTCAAGCGGACCACAAAACTAGTGAATTTAATAAGTTTAAAATGAAGTATACTTCATTAAAGCTCTCCGTGGTCATTTCATTTGTCGCCGAGAATCAAATTGATTACACAACATTTGAAAAATGGCAAAAAGGGGAGAAAATTCAAAAGGTATGGTTGAGATGGGAAGTTAGTGTCCGAGTGGATCGAGGTCATGATAGCTCAAGTGGTAGAGCAGCGGCGTATCAAGTCGAAGATCGTGGGTTCGAATCCCGCTCGTGCCATTGACTTTTTTATCTCAACTGAAAACCTTAATTAATTGTAAGATATTAATTGGTCAAGTGGACCACAAAACTAGTGAATTTAATTTGCTTTAAATTAAAAACATAACCTACCCTTTCTCTAGAGTACAATGACACTGAGCCTATTTATAATAATTGTTCTGTAACTTATAATACTTAAAATTTTGTGTTTCAGTGTAAAAATAAGGAATGTTTAGGAAGGCATTTAGTATGTGACGGTACTAGCCATTGTTCGGACGGAAGCGACGAAGAAGATTGTGGTAAGACCCTTTGTCTATACTCCCCCTCAAATTTTATCCTTCCAGGTCATTAAAATATTCCATTTCAGAAAACTGGAAGTGCGCTGCCGATGAATACAAGTGCCCTTCATCCTCACAGTGCATCCCTAGTGTGTGGAAATGCAACGAGAACAAGGACTGCCCTAACGGAGAAGATGAGGAGGACTGCAAATGAAAACTGAAAGCCCAGATTTAAGACTGCAAACTGTTAATAACTACCCCCCCCCCAAATAATCATAGCGGTTACCTTATGTCCCTGTGTATTATAGATTTCGCATGAATGCGAGTTTGTTGTATATGTGTAATTGATTGTGTAAATATGTACTTATGATTACGAGTAGTCTGTTACCTATGGAGTCATACGATGTTCCTGTCCAAATTCATGCGGATGAAGACGAATCGTTTCAATTCCTCCTCAATTGTGATGATATGTTCACAAAATTTAGTTTCATAAAATTAAGTCTGTTAAGTAACTCCTTTTTCACGAACAGTTTTCCAACATCTCATTTTAAATTTGATTTGATTGGAACACGCTGTCTTTTTTGGCCTATTCTTGCAAGTTTATTCAAAGAAAAACAATTCAAATTTTTGTTTTTATCTTTGAATACTTAGTGTTGCTTGACAGGCTCCCATTCGAAGTTACTGGACTTCACGTAACCTTATTTATGCGCCTATCTTATTGAAATATCTTTCTGTCATTTATGTACTTAACATTCTTAGGCTAATTACCTAGTTTTTAAATGTATTATATTTATTTAGATAGGCAATTATAATACCAAACAAGTCAATTTGTCGGTTCCAGTTAATTTTCTATATTATTATCGAGTGGTGCAACAGATCATCACCCCATTTCGGTTAGTGCTTTCACATGTAAATAGTTTTATCATTGGTCAATATTTTGTTAGCTGTCAAACAGATGAAGGAAAAGAGATTTTGATTGGTCAGGCCGAACAACGGTTTGACACAGTGCCGCCATTTGAATACTGTACATTTCCAAACAACGAACAAAAAAATTAATCAAGATGACAGGTGGCACTGTAAATCACCGTCGTAATGACCATCAACAACTATTTTGTTACATTCCCTTTCAGAAATGTAAATGTTGTAAATTTAATACAAGTGGCCAACAATGCTAACAATGCTCAAAGGTACCTTGTAAATTTTGTCGATTCAAAAATTAAAAAAAGAAAAATATATTTATGTATATTAATATTTTAAATATATTTCTTACAATAAATATTTTTGTAAAAATATATTATATATTCATATTTCAAATTGTTAATAATTTCAGAAGTTATAATAAATCTATAAAATATAATTGTTAATTTTTAATGAAATCGTCCATGGGACAGCAATACTGGTTCACAACTGCCTATCTCTCTTCCCAATATCCTATAATATTACTTCCTCTCTCATAATTTTTTTTTCTTTTTTGTTGGCAAACAGCTACAACACACCAATAACTACTTACAATACTCTAATAAATATACTCATTCATTTACTCATATGCCGCACTATATACAATTAAGAATAAATCAAGGGTCACTGGGGTATTTGACATTCTGCCGGTGACCACTCCTCTCATTCAATCATAAGACTAAGCCTAGAAACATCTGTCGAGGTACTTAAATATTCCAACAAACAGCCTTTTCTCATTCACACCAATTCCTGTACCTATTTAATGTACCCTTGCACCCACCCTCAATCATGCTAATAAATACACTCATTCATCTGCGTACATGCTATACTATGTACAAATAAAAGATTTCTCTATTATCGGAGCCATTTACATACACTGTATCAACCTTACTATCCTCCTTACCAAACAATAAATGAAAGCTACTCCTTATACCACTTTGATACTCTTAGACCTCAATTCGTCTGTGGTGGTGACTTTTATGCGAAATACCCAAACTGGGGTAATCGTATGGTGAATTAGAGGGATCAAACCTTTTACAACATTCGTACTCAAGCCAATTTCTTCTTCCTATACAATCACAACCAACCTACTGCCTACCTCCTCTAAAAAACGACCTAACCTGCTTGATTTCTTTATTACTTACACTTACTTAACTTTACTCTACTGATTATTATGCCTAAGAAAATCTTTCTTCTGACCATAGCCCAGTTATTCTATCTCTTGATATCCATACAAAAATAAACCTGGCTGAACCTACTTTAATAAACATCAGTTCGCTGGGAACTAGCAACTGTGGCCGCAACAGTGCAGGCATTGATATGCACTCATCACTGTAAGGTAAAGATCCCAAGTTCGAATTCGAAAACTATATACAGTTATGTTATAAAAGTTGGCGCTTGAGGTAAATTCTGTTTAAAGGCTGCAAGCAAAACTATGATTAAAAAAGAAGGGTTGAAGGGAAAACTAATGGGGAACATTACATAACTAAACATAAAGAAAGAAATGTTTTTGGATTTATTTCACATTAATAGAAATGATAAAGATGGGGTGAGTATATTTTTTAATCTTTTAAAAAGATATTGCTTAATTATGCTCATCATCAGGTCGAAGGAATTCTCAACATGAACTGTGAAATGAAATATTATCCTAATAAATGCTGTAAGAAAATAATTTTAAATTAGAGATTAATTTGTATGTCAAATTTTGTTTAGGTACATGTTAAAATAGAAGGTAAATCAAAATATATGTTCTTATTTTATGCATTTGTCCTCCATATTTAATTTTACATTTTTGAAATTCAAATTTCGCAAACCAATTCCCTCCATTTGTTACAATTGTGTTACACTGTCATATTTAAATTCAAATTGAAATCTTGTTTCATTTATATGGCCCTTAAATTTAGAAAATTTGTTCAATTTAGGCAATTGTTCTTTATATCGTTTTAATTTCATTGCCACTTTGTCTTATATACTAAGCAATCAATACAATTAAATTGGTAAACGCCAGCTTTTTGACAAGTTATCAACCTTTTAAGTTTTGAGAGAATTCAATTAATTAAGTTTTTTAAGTTGAGACAAAAAGTCAGTGTCACGAGCGGGATTCGAACCCATGACCTTCGGCTAGATACGCCACTGTTCTAAAACTTGAGCTATCATGACTTCGACCGACTTTTTGTCTCAACTTAAAAAACTTAATTAATTGAATGTTATTAATTGGGCAAGCGGACCACGAAAAATAGTGAATTTAATTGATTAAAATGTAGTACACTCTCCGTGGCCATCTCATTTGTTGCCGAGAATCCAATCCGATTACACGACATTTGAAAAATGGCAAAAAGGTGGTAAAATTCTAAAGGTGGGGTTGAAATGGGAAGTTGGTGTCCGAGTGGATCGAAGTCACGATAGCTCAAGTGGTAGAGCAGCGACGTATCTAGCCGAAGGTCGTGGGTTCGAATCCCACTCGTGACACTGACTTTTTGTCTCAACTTAAAAACCTTAATTAATTGAATGTTATTAATTGGTCGTGGACCACGAAAAATAGTGAATTTAATTATTTAATTTTTGAGAGAATGTTTCTAAATGAAAGTGAAGCTTCTCTAAAACTTTCTCATTGAAGAATTTTACTTACTTGTTTTGATAGTTACCAATGTATGGCAAGCAAAGAAAACCAAATTATTCATTTTTAGTGGAGTGGCTGAGTCAAATTGTTGCTTCCTCTAATTTTTTAAAATTCTGTTTACAAGCAAGCTATGGATAAATATTTCTTGATATCATAGCAGAATCTGCATGTGCCATCTTGGATTGTTCCAATTTTCTTTAAGTGTCCATTTAATTTGCAGAGTCCTGTTAGGAATCCTATTAGGATTCGCAGTCTGTTCCTGCTTCCTTGTATTCTGTAATGTCTTTCCTACCAAAATTGGTTAGAAGATTCTTGCATTGACTATGTCCAATGAGTGAATTCCAAAGTTCCCTCATTTTCTTTTTGTCCTTCTTTCTGAATATTCGTTAATAATGTGGATTCCTAGGTCACAGAAAGGTTCAGGTCCTATCAGCGGTGTAGCAGCCCCTTTTCTTGCAAAGGTGTCCGCTTTCTCGTTGCCTTCTACTCCCATGTGTCCTGGGACCCAGGAGAGGCTGACTTTATTCTGCATACCTAATATATTTAGTTTGGTTTTGCAGTTCAGCACCATCCTTGAACTTAGTGCTTTGAAGGCTGCTTGGCTATCTGGCATGATAGCTATATTCTTGTTTTTGTACCCTTTACTTAGGTTGAGTTAGATACATCTTTCAATCGCATGAATCTCAGTTTGGAAGATACTGGTGTATTTTCCCATGGGTTCTGAGTATTTGGTTCCAGGTCCAAATACTCCTGCACCTGTACCTTCTTGTGTTCTAGATCCGTCTGTGTACCAGAGGATGGTACCATTTGTTCTTCTTTTTTGGTACCCAGGTTTATTCGGAAGTTTTGGTTAAATTCAAACATCCTGTTCATGTCGCCTTTGGAACCATGAGTATCAGATGTACCGGAGGAATTGAAAAAGGCTTAAGAATAAGAATTATATCAAACAAAATTAACAAAGGAAAAAGTTAAACTGAAAGCTTTAGGCGTAGCAGAATGTAAATGGGATTAATCAGTAAAAAAATTAAACAAAGCATTATTAACAGTTTCTTCAGACTATGATAGCTCCTAATTACCTGTAACTAATCTAGAAAGATAATGGATTTAATTTTAAACATAATAAATTGAGTGGTGCGTTAAGTTTGTCCATCAGTGTATAATAATTTTGTAATGTATAATAGTTGTTTTATTAGTTGTGTTATTTTTGCTATTTTGTTAAAACAAAGAAATATGGTATTTTTCTACTATCTTATAATTAGTTTTCAACCAGTTACAAACAAAAATTACTTTTTCTTGATTTAGGCTGGCTTTTTCGACATATTTATACTCGTTTTGCATAAAATAGATCATTCTGAGTTTATTGGGCGCAATAATTAAGCTCGTAAACTTCAAATTAATCGAAATAATCGCTTAAGAATGGGGAAAAACAGAAAAAAACAACTTGATTCGATCTAAACGAAAACTAGAAAAAAAACAGAGGTTACACAATTGTTTTCTTGTTGTGACAGCCACGTGTGTTATATGAGAAAGTACTGCTTATGCTAAAATCCCCAGTGGTACAGACTCCAGTTGAGTAATGCAGTTGATTTTCCTCGGGACAGCTTCGTGCTACCCTACAGCACACAGGGGCGTTAGCTGCACTGCCCTCAGGCTCGACGGTCTATAACAATGACCAACATACATAAACAACATTCTTAATAGTTCATAACATAATTTGCAGATGGTAACGTCTGGATATTCGACTGCGGGGAAGGGTCGCAGGTGCAGATTCAGAAGAGTTCAGTCCTTCCGGGGAAAATCAAAAAGATCTTTATAACTCACTTGCACGGTGATCATGTGAGCGAGTTACCAGATTGAATAGTAAGAGGAAAATTTCGTTTTTGTATTGCTTTTACAGCTTTTTGGCCTTCCGGGTTTGGTCTGTACGCTGGGATGTCAGGTGCAGGACAGGAAGGAACCTTTCATTCTGGACATCTACGGTCCCTTGGGTCTCAGGAGATACCTGAGAGAGAGTCTTAAATTGTCAGTTTCACCTCTTCCCTTTAAGTACAAAGTATGAAATTTTAATATTTGTATGGTGTATAAATTAGTATTTGTCTTTTTGTTTGCCTCGTAGGTTCATGAGTTGGTCCCTTTTGACTTTAAAGGCACTCTCTTCGAGTCCCAAGAGTGGCAAATTGCAGTTGGATCCCTTCATCCACAAGAAGAGTTAGGAGATACAATCTATGAAAAACAAGGGGTATGGAATGTGTGAGTTTGTTAGAGAAAATATATTTGCTAATTATTAATAATTGATCTTCGTTCGCTGGAATATTTTTTGAAAAATTTTTCAGTATGCTTGAAAACAATATATCTGTATATGCTGGTCCCCTCGTACATCGGATTCCTTGCTTTGGCTATGTTGTAAAAGAAAGCCCATCGCCAGGGGCTTTGAATGTCCTTCAGCTTAAGAAAGAGGGCGTTCCTCCTGGCCCTCTTTACAAACAAATCAAGGATGGGCATCCGATTGCATTGCCTAGTGGAAAAATTGTATCCTCTTATCTGTAAAAAATACTTTTCTCGATTTTGTGTTTATAATAAAATCCTTAATAGGGCTGTAGATCATTCCCGAGGAAGTCTTGGGCCCTCCAAAACCTGGTAGGTGCATCACGATTCTTGGAGACACCTGTGATTCATCAGCGCTTAAAGATATAGCTATGTTCGTTTTATAAATTAATGTTAATTTATTATTTGTTAATTATTTAATTTTAAACAGCAACAGTGATGTTCTTGTTCATGAAGCGACATTGGAAGAAAGTATGAAAGACAAGGCTATCGAACACGGCCATTCTACGCCTGTCATGGCTGTCTCTTTTGCCGAAAGCATCGCCGCAAAAAAATTAATACTGTTCCACTTCAGCCAACGGTACAAACGCGACACTGGAGAAGCGGGAGAAGATGTAATAACCTAAATTTAAAAATGCACTTTGAACAGTTTATTAAATACTTTTTTTTAATATGCAGGGTGACAATAATACAAGCGTTAATATCCTGCACAAAGAAGCTGAGCTAGAATGTAATAAGAGAAATTTCATCTGTGATATAATGCTTGCAGAAGATTTACTAGAAATAGACGTAAAAAGGCCTGTTCCAAAATAATTGCTACATTTTTTGTATGAATAAATAAAAGCAAAAAAAAAAACTCATCATACAGACTGCAAGAAAATTCCAGGGGATAACAAAGGCTTTTTCTAGGCAATGGGCTTAGAATAAAGTTTATTGTGTGGTGGTTAGTGACCGTTAATCGATAATTATTCAGAAATCATGAGATGCGGTCTGATGTGATGTAGGTTTCAGAAAAACATTTTCTTTATCATGCCAACGTTTCAAACTTTATTGAGATCATCTTCAGGGCTCAAAGTGGCCCAGGGCACTCTCAACACGGCACGCAAGAATGGCACAATTACACAGAAGACAAACACTTTGAGCCCTGAAGATGATCTCAACAAAGATCGAAACGTTGGCACGATAAAGAAAATGTTTTTCTGAAACCTACATCACACCAGACGCATCTCACGATTTCTGAATAATAAATTTTATTATTTAAAATTAAAACTGCTACTTTCATAAGAATCTTTTTGAGATTTAAGGTATGATGAACCTGCAGTTTGGTCATTTCCAATTATACTAAAGCAGCAAAACTCAAAATATACACTCCTGAATAGGTGAATTGTTAGCTAAAACATCGAAATGTTTAATAACATATAAGTTCTCTACAACTTTTTAAAATGAATGTTGGATCATTCGAAGCTCAAATCTTCGCTATTGTGTTCGCATGTGCAGAGTTGAGCCTACCTCATCTCACAGTCCATTGGCCAAGAAACACTCTTCAATTAGGTAGAATTCATTGAGCAACCATTCTCTACTTGCGCAAAAATAAGTGCCCAGAACACCTCAACTAACAATCATTTAAAGTAGAATATATATTTATTTCGTTGTAATTACATAATAACAAATAATACCAAAATACATAAGACAAAGTTATTTTTATGCATCTATGTATAAGGTTTAGAACATTGACCAATAAACAATGAAACCAAGGGAAAACACAGTTAAAATTATTAATGCAGAGGGGAGGATCAGCCATAGACAAGAATCATTCACCTGTCAGTCATCTTGTAGATGGAATGAAGGGATGTAAATGCAGAAGGGATGAACATAGAAAATAGAAGTGGGCCTAAGAAGGACGCCGGTGAAACTCCAGAATTAATAAAGTCTGTCAGTTCTTTTGGAGTTGAAATTAAAAATGCGTGAGCGACTACTCACTACTCAGATACAAAATGAAAAATTTACAAGCGGTGGAGCTGAAATTAAAGTTTTGGTGTATCTTGGTTATCAAGGCACTATGATTGATTTAAAAAATGCATACAGGCAGAAATTAAAGCAAACCACCCATGAGATATGCATTCCTGAAGGTATAAATTGTGCAGAAAGTGAAAATAAAAATTGTATTGGCTAGAAAATAGTTTATTTTAAAGAAAAAGTTCGATGTTAAATTTTTAACAATAAACTTTGCTTGTGTGATAGAGATTTCGAGAGTGTAGTTAAAAGTTTTTTTAAAAACGTGCCTTTTTTATTTTGTCTATATTTTTATTATTACATTTATAAAATATATGTAAAATGTATATATTTTTATGGTTTGTATATATAATTTTTTCGGGGGGGGGGAATACCAAAAACGGGAATTGTTGTAATAGGCGCTACAGAGTACAGCATGGGCTGTAACAGTTGCAGTACAGGGCAACCTATTTAATGTTAGTGTTGGTTATTAAATCGTACAAACTAACTCTCTGTGATTGCTTTTTTAAAGTGTTTTAGTGTACTTTATAAATGAGTTTTTCCATGGTCACGTTAGCAGCAGGATAAATAATTTATTTTTAAAAAAACTATTGAATAAAATCAGAATGGCAGAAGAGCCAAAGAAGATATCCTTCGGATTTAGTAAAATCAATAAAAAGACCAATCTGGTCCAAACTGCCAAACTCGAAAACGAAGAGAATCAGGTAGAATTCATAGCATGCCTGGATAACAAGTCGATTAAGTTAGTCAACGGGGAGGAGAAGAAAAAAGATCTTCCTGTGATACCGATGAAGGTAGCCAGCACGCTTAGAGAAAGCATAATCCAGACATTAAATTCAAGAAAAGCTAAAACAGATGATAAAGGAGAACCTAAAGAGAACGGTGAGACGGTTGAGAATGGTGAACCCAAGCCCCTCACCCTCGACGAAATGGCTGCTAAAGAGATCATGGAAGACCTTCAAAAAGGGGAAAATGCGGAAGAAAGTAAAAACGCAAATGCTAAAGTACCTTTACCTTCAATCGGTGTTGTGAGTGAGAAAGAACCGACGCTGGATGATTACAACAACATGCCTATAACAGATTTCGGCCTGGCGATGTTGAGAGGTATGGGCTGGGATGAGAAAAAAGGCATCGGGTTAAATGAAAAGGTGGTCCAGCCAGCCCAGCCGCCTTTAAGACCGAAGGGCATGGGCCTCGGTGCAGACAAAGCGATGCTCGGGCAGAAAAACAAAAACGATAATCAGGATTTAGTTATGAAAAAAGGCGCATTTGTCAAAGTCAAAACTGGACCTCATAACAACTTATATGGAAAAGTAGAAGGCTTCGGCGATCTCCCAGGAAGAATTCTTGTCAAACTCGCCCTTCAGGGAGACATTGTATCTCTGAGTGAGTTCATGGTCGATCTCGTAAACCAGTCCGAATACAATAAAAACTCAAAAGTTATGAACTTGAAAAAATTTAACGAGTTTTCCGATATAAAACCTCAGACACCAAATGTGAAAGTGGAAAAACCAGATGACAAGTCGGCAATTCATAAAGATGAAAATATCCGATATTCAAAGACAGACAAGAATGGTCCCTCGTCTGTTGCTTCACCTGAAAGAGTAAGAACATCGAAACAGAGACATTCTCCTGATGCAGACTATAAGAGAAATCGATCACCAAGTTCCGAATACGATGTGAAGCCAAAGAAAAAAAAACATCACAGACGCCACTCGTCCCAATCATCAGACGAACACCACAGGTCTAAAAGTAGTAAACACAAAAGGAAAGATAGGATGAGCCCTGTTGAAAAATCTCTTAAAAAGAAACATAAAAAACATAGATCAGCAAAACGTTCTAGATCAAGGGAAGAAAGAGAAAGGAGTTCGAAAAGGCGACATTCTAGAAGCAGAACACCAAAAAAACACAGCCGGCATCGATCAAGATCATAATGTCCCTTCTTCTTGGAATAATTTTGCTTGAATAATTTATTTATTCTTTGTAAAGTATTTCTTGTACATATACATACCTTGTATAAATTTTAAAAAAATTAAATATAATTATGAAACTTTTTTTAAAAAATTGTCGTTATTTATTCCTATTCATATTAAATAATATAACACATTTCAAGGGTTGATTGAAACTTTAGCACATCAACCATGCAGGCTCATTGTACACCTAGATTTATACTGCCTTAGCTTTTTGTTTTTTAATTATGTTTTTTTAGTGAATCGTTTCATGGCTCCATCAAGTTTCAGCTTCTCAACTGTAAAATTTTCCAGGCAGATTTTCCAAGTTCACAGATAAGGGTTTGTTTCTGTTGATCATGGTAATTATATTTCTTTAAAATGGTAGACAATAGTCAATGTTTCTTAGTGTTCGTTGAATTCGTGAAGTGCAGTCTGCAATGAGGTAGTTTAGAAAAACATTATTACATTTTTTTGCCGACATTTTGCCCTATTTTTGGGTCATCTTCAGGGAATAAAGTGTGGTGCTATTCTTGACATGACACCACAAGTCAGCAAAAAATGAAAAATATGTTTTTCTAAACCAACGTATTCAACAAATTGTCAATATTTTATGATATTGGAGAAAATAAATTGGCCAGTTTACATGGTTTTGATTCTGACTCTTACCTTGCAAGATGTTTGGATATTTTTTCCAAGTCTGTTGTTTGTACAGAATCTGGGCATTCTTGTGTATGTGTCACCAAGGATTTGACTATTGCGATACTGCCTTTGAGAATGGGTGTGCCACAGGGCAACGTGCTCGGACCTATCCTGTATCTCCTCTACACCACATCCCAACTAAACCTACCCTCCTTGCAATTTGTGTGTGTGTGTGTGTGTGCATGCGTGCGTATGTGTGTGTGTGTGTGTGTGTGTGCTGATGACTGCGTTGCTTTCCTCTGATCCCAAACCTTCAATTCAGAGGTGCTCCAGGCACATGTCAAACGAATAGCCTAATAAAAACAAAAGCACCAATGTTACGTTTACCCTCTGAAGCAAAACCCCTCATGCAATATTCCTCAACAACATTTCTATCCCTAAAACCAACTGCGTACACTGCCTTGTGTTCTTTCAACTCACATTTAACCTCGAACCAACACATACAAATAAACACGAACTGAACTGATGTTTCAGTCTACTTTATAAACTACTTGGGCCCAAATTTTTATATATCCTCTAATTGCAATTAGATAGAAGCATAAATTTTGTGACTTATATTGGTCTATTGTGGCACTCCTACATGACTACACTGTGTAAAGGGCGCTTTTCCTCACAAAACTAAGCACTTTCCTTAGTGTCTTTCTGCGCACTTCTCTTGGTAAGAATTGCCTTACTAAATTGCTATATTGTATATGGTTTTATGGGCTAGTGCATCATATTTTCTGGTCCTGTGGGTGAGTGTTTGCCCTTTCTTTGGCTAATTAGTCAGCCAGTGTGGTTATGTGCCACAACTCACTTGAAGGTAACATTGTGTTTTCCTAGAACCATTAGGAAATTTAGACATTCCTAGACAAGTTTAGAGCTAAAAGAAAACACATTTAGTGCCTTTATAGTTGCCCAACTATCTGAAAGTATAAGTCCGTGCACCTTTCATTTTATTATTTCTTGTGCATAGAGGTGAATGTATGGACCTCAGCTTTGAATAATTGGAAAGAGTCCGAAGGGTTTTGCTAGGGAATAATTCAGCCTCTTTACTCTAACACCAGTTCCTGTCCTATCTTTCATCAATCAGTGTACCACATTATGGTCGTAAACAACCGGGTACAACTACTTTTCTTCCAAAGATCTCTTTTATCTATGACCCATTGTCACTTTGTCTGTCAAAGTTGAGTTTCCTCTCAATTTGTCAGGTGACTCTTTATAACCTGGTTTTGATCTCTATCAAAAGCCACCTTTTGCAAAAGAATGTGTGAGGGTGAGAGATCAAACATGGTTTCTATTGCTATTGTGGGTCAAGTATGAAATACATCTGTTATATTAAGACATGCTAGTCTTCGTTAGACTTGAAAATTTGTTTTGTGTCATATGCAATGTTTTTGGACATGTCTTCCATATATGACAAAGGTCTGGCCGATGTGGTGTATAACCAATACGACTTCATGGGTTTATTCCCCAGTTTTTGCTGAATAATCTCTGGCCAATGCTTATTAGTGCTTTGGCTTTATGTAATATGTTGCCTATATGACTTCTCTACTTAAGCTTTTGGTAAGAACTTAGTTTCTTTGGAGAAAGTTATGGCATCATGTTTTAGAGTTGGTGCTTTTTGGTATAGCTTTCTTCTAATTGATATTTTCTTAGGGTTGATATACAAACCCATCTTTTCATACCATCTTTTTACAATGTTAGGGTATTTTGCTTCTAATTTCTTTCAAATGAGAATACATTTATACACAATAATTAATTAATTCTGTAATGCTAAAAATTGTTAAAACCTTGAAGGATTGCTAATTTTATGAACTACACATTTATAAATAAAGAAAGGCAAAATATGTGGATATATTTAATAAACAATCTTCATTAGATCAAAGTTTTATACAAAATATGATGTGCATTAAAAGAAGAAAATTATATATTAAGCATCATTATCATTCCATCAACTCATTGGCAAAACTCTGATGCTGATGAATTGAGTCACTGTGTTTAAAGATTAAATAAATAAATTGCTTTTCTTGCGTTAATTAGCCTAAACTTACACAAAAAATATAGTAAAAATTTCAAATATGCAATGATCTCTTATAACCAATTTGTACAATGCACACTATTGCGATTTACATAGTTTACAAATTAAATGCAAATGTTTAAATACAATAAAAACATGCTTATTAATCATCAATTATTCCTTTAAAGGCAAAGGGAATGAAAAGGTAGCCTGTACCAGCATAGTATTTGCTTTGAAATTCCATCCTGAAAAATAAAACGAAGAAAAAAGTTCAATGTGTATTCAGTCTAGTCACAGACTTATGTTAGAGAATTAAAATTTCTTACCAATGCAACCGAAGTGCGTGTAAAAATGCTGACAACCCTTCCATCAGTACAAGTATACCAACGGTAAGAAAAGACCAAACCAAAAACATTATGTACACCAAAAAGTAATTTAAACCTACAATATCTGGGACAAGCATGTAGGAATTTATTAATATCATTTTCCAAAGTACTTCAGATAATTCTGAAAAAAAAGAAGAAATATTAGCATTAATTTTGAATGATAGTACTTTGCTGATCTTTTTTACCAGCAGAACATTTTATTACAGCTTACAAAAATATAAATCTATAATACACTCAAAGACATTTTTTACCTAGTTTTGCTCTTAATGCCTTATGAAAAGCAAAACCAAGTAATATATTGATAAATTAACTTAGCTTTAACTACGGGTCTTACCATTACAAGGAGAAGGCCAAGAATATGCAGTAGGAAGTGGCCAACTGAAAGATTCAAAGACAGCAAATTTATCTATCTCGACTCCAAAATTAACTCCTTTAACATCTCTCCCAGATTAGCAAGAAAGCTGCTAATAGGAGCTATTTTGGCCTTTCAAAATAAAAAGCATCTTAATCTCTGGGAACACAAAAATCAGACTGTAAAACCCTCATCTACCCAATACTGAAAGAAAGGGATGAACGACGAAGAAGAACTAATAAAGCGTACGATCTATGCAAAGAAGCGAATGTCGTAAATGTAAAAAAGTTATCAAGATTAAACTGGGCAGGTCACGCCGTGAGGATGAAGGGGTGGAAAGTGCCAGCAAAGATAATTGACAACTAGCCAGAGCAGAAAGAGGCCAAAATATTTCGCACAACCTATTTTCCCATCCAGTGGAAACTATCTTTATTAACCCCATACCCCATACCCAAAACCACACAAATCCCCGAGTTTCCCACCCTGTTATAGACCAATAAGCTTCCTCCCTATTTTATCCAAAATCTTTGAACATCTCCCCATAAAAGACTAATTCCCATGTTCGACTCTGTACACTTAATTCATAACCATCAATTTAGGTTTCAACCTCTCCATTCCACTGTTCAGCAGTACTTCAGAGTAGTCAACACGCTATCCTCGGCAGTAGAAAACAGACAATACTACTCAGCGGTATTTCTGGACGTTACAGAAGCATTTGACCGAGTATGGCACCGTAAAACATATCCTCAATCATTCCTACTATCTTATCCTGAAATCCTTCCTCTCGGATCAATGGTTTAAAGTGTGAATCGCACTGATTTTTCACCTATCACGCCAATCAAAGCTGGTGTTCCACAAGGAAGTATCCTAGGCCCAATCCTCTACACCACCTACACTGCTGACATACCCACACATCCAAACACACAACTCACAATCTACGCGGACGACATCGCAATCTTATCAACACACTATAATCCTATCCTAGCAACAGAAGCAATTCAACAACACCTGGATTGGAACAAACTTTGACATTACTGACTGGTGCAATCTGTGGCGGATCAGGTTAAACGAAAAAAAAAAGCCAACAAGTTACATTTACGCTCAAACATCAAACCTATCCATCAATGCTCATTTACAACAAGATAATACCACCATCGAACCAAGCCCACTACTTTGGGCTTTACTTAGATAGTAGACTTACATGGAACCCACATACAAGAATAAAATGGCAAGAACTTAACAAAAGATATGGACTACTCAGACCCCTACTTGGACCAAAATCAACACTAAGCATACATAACAAACTAACCACTTACAAAACATTCATCAGACCTATTTGGACCTATGGATTTGAGCTGTGGGGCTTGGCCAATCATCCAATTTCCAATAAATTCAAACCTTTTCAACCTAAAGTTCTCTGTTGTATCCTCAAAGCCCCCTTCTATGTCACCAATCAAACGATCCATAAAGATCTTAAAATCTCTTTCATGAAAGATCTTATTCCACTCTAAACTATCCCCCAACCCTAACCCACTAGCCCTAACTCTTTCCTCAACGTCTCACCCTTACAATCTTCCACGCCGTTTAAAATGAAGATGGCCTCGTGACCTTCTATCTAATCCACCCAATTAAATTTAACCTACCCAATTAAATAAAAGAGAGTCGCAGCACTGGTTGGTTTCTCTCCCCTCCTGATCTGACAGGTCCGTCAGATTTGTTTATAATTAACCTATTTGATCTATTGTATATTTTGTACAGATAACAGTAAATAAAATAAGATAATTTTGAAAAACAATTTTTTTTACTGTGTCAATCGATTGCTGGAAAAGGAGTCTTGTGTTGATTTTACAAAAGAAAAAATTAGATTATCAGCATTTGGTACAGCAAAAAGGATAAACTTAAGGTCACCATAATAAAGGACCCAAGTGTGCACCTTGTGGCACTCCAGATGTAATTGGAATAGGCTTCACTACCTGTTCACGGTTAGTTTAATAATTACAGATGCAGGACAAAAATCGTCCAGTAAACCAGACAAATTTAAGTTTAACGAATACCAGATTGTGGGTATCTATCAAGCGCCTAAGTTATGAGGACATCTATCATCTACCTGACTGCCACATTCAAGTTATGTTGGTAGGGAACTGTATTATACAAGATACTGTCTACTATAGTTTTGCATTACATTGCTGTATTGCTTATTATATTATGCCAATATAAGCTGATATTATTTGTTGAAACCGCATAAGTAGACTGTGAATGACTTCTGATTTAATTACTCCTAACGTACTATGAAGATTGTCAATTAGTTACCATTCTATTTTTATTAAAAATCCATATCACTTAAATTATTGGAATTAATTAAATTGGTCTCTTCTACTGAATGAGACGTGAGTAATAGGCAACGTCGTCATGGAGGTCAGCACGTTGCCGGCACGTGGTTATTACTGCAGGTGCAACCTACTGCTAAACGTCAGGAACGGTTGGTCGGTTCACGGTTGTATTCGACACTTTTCCAACGTTTTCAGCCTGATAATGTAATTAATTCAGTACAAGGGAGATGAAAGTGCTAAAGGGCATCAAAAAGGTGGCTTTAGGGGTATCAGGAGGTGTGGACAGCGCCGTAGCCGGTCTGCTTTTGAAGAAAAGAGGCATTGACCTCATAGGTGTATTCATGAAAAACTGGGACATCGTGGACGAACAGGGCTTTTGCGATGGCGAGAGAGAACTCGAGGACGCCGAGAGCATATGTAAAACACTCGGTATACAATTTAAAGTTGTTAATTTCGTGAAGGAGTATTGGAACGAAGTGTTCACAGAGCTGATAGCCGACTACGAGAAAGGGCTGACCCCGAACCCAGACATATTGTGCAACAAGAACATAAAATTCAAGCATTTTAGTGATTATGCTTTTAATCGTCTGGGCTGCGATACCGTCGCTACAGGCCACTACGCCAGGAATTCCTTTGGTGAAGATTTGCAGAATTTCCACCCGTCGGGAGCTAACTTGCTGACAGCAGTTGATTCCTGTAAAGATCAGACTTTCTTCTTGAGCCAGATTCCTCAGGATGTGCTTCAAAGGACTATATTTCCACTTGGCTCCATGTTAAAATCGGTAGTGAAGAAAATAGCCTTTGAAAACAATTTTGAGAGGATTGCCAAAAAGAAGGAGTCGATGGGAATTTGCTTCATCGGCAGTAGAAATTTTCAAAGCTTCATTTCTGAATACATCAAGCCTAAAGAGTGCAACTTGATAGATATCGATTCGGGGAAAATAGTAGGGAAACATTTAGGCAAGCACTGCTTGACCATTGGGCAGCGATGCAACATTCCAGGCACCAAGAAACCATATTATGTCGGATTAAAGACAGATACTCCAGATATACTTGTCGCAATGGGTCATAGTCATCCATTGTTTCATTCCAGCCAGTTTATTACGCACATACCATATTGGATAAATTCAGAGCCTTCTGACCTAGAAAATAACAAAATATTCCATTGCAAGTTCAGATTTCAGCATCGCGATAATGTGTTGGGTAGTTCAGTTATGAAACTGGAAGACGGCAAACTTCATGTCATGTTGGAAAAGCCCGTTAGGGCTCTTACACCAGGACAGTTTGCTGTGTTTTACAAAGGGGAAGTTTGCTGCGGAAGCGCACCCATTGATTATGTCGGCCCTACGGAATATTCTTTAAATTATTATGAAAGATATGCAAAACCAGATAGTTGACTTTTAAAATGTAAATTGTTTTTATATTAAAGTGTTTTTCTAGTCATTAGTAGTTTTTATATATACGAACAATACTTAAACCCTTATTTAAAAAAATTCTAAATTGAGAATAAACATCATTCTCACCCGATTAAGAATAGGCCATGCAAGGTGGACACATGGACACTTACTTTTGGGCCAAAGCAGGCAGAGAAAAGTCCGATGTGGCCCGCCTAATTGAAGGATGTAATTCCTTTGTTCTAAATAGAGTGTGTAGGAATGCCACCCAATACGGAAGCATGGAGGAATATCGAACCACCTTAACTGAGTGAATGGTATATAAATAGGAAAGAGGGGTGATTGAAAAACTGATTACGTTGGTGGTTGAAATGACCTAGCTGTTAATAGCCGCTGGGAACAACCTTGGTGGCTGGACAGATAAGGCTGAGGACTGCCTTAGACTGCCAACACCCAAGGTGGGTGATTCTCAAAGTCTACCGGTAATTTACTGCGAATCACCAAAGCTGAAATTGCTAGTGGACCATCAGAATGATAAGCTCAACTCTGTACTCGCTTATATGTATGTATGTACATGCAAGTGCAGATTTGAGCTTATAAATCAGTAATCAGAATTGAAAATAAACTTACGAGAATGTGCTAGAGACAATGCCCATAATCTGAGATATGAAGCTGTGTAGCTTACGCACCCCAATGCAAATTCAATTGTGTGGATGCTTGCTGTAACAATAATGTCCATCACTCCTTCATCCGAATGTCCTTTCGCTGGTTTAGGCCCTTTTTTTGCCTTGGAGAGCCTCACTAATAAAATAGTCGGTTTCAACAATAGCATCCAAGGCAGACAGAGTATAGCAGCATAAACCAGTAGTGGTTGTGCAATAGCCTAAAAATTAATAATAATAAAATAAAAAACAAATATATGAAACAATAAAGTATCAGTGCTTCTGAATATTTTTTTAAAAATATTACCTGGCCTGGATAAAATTGCTGTGCACAATTTGGCAGAGTCTCGTACTTTTTAAACAGCATCATATTTATGAAAGTGATGAGGACTGAAGGAGCGCAAGCACTGCTGTACAAATTTCCTGTAAATCAATTAATGTAATATTTTCCTTTTCTATTCAATTGAGAAAGTAATTACCATTTCCTGGGCCATAGTTTAACCATTTGTAAAACACTAAGAATACAAGATAGCCGAACAAATTTGTAAAGAAAATAAGTCTTGGTAAAAACTCACTATATACGTTCAAGTACTCCTTGAAATACCTTAAGATAGTTGTAAGTGATTAAATTCTTATTGCGATTTAAAAACACAAACTTACAGATCATTAAGTAAACTTAAAAAAAGACCAAATTCCATTTGAATTATACCAAATATGATAGCTGCTTTCATTTTAAAACTGTTTTGAAAATCAATCTTATTTACAGCTAGCTGGAAAGACGAATAGATTTTAACTTTAATGTATTTGAAGAATTTTAAAATATTCCTTCCGATGTTTTAGTATTTTATATACTTACCACCCATGTCGGATCGAGACCAAAAGGATAAGGTGTCCCTTTGTAATCTTCCGTTGGATTCAATTCCAACGACGGATTGTTATGTACAGTGGAAAGATTGTAATTGACTGACCAACTAGATTCAAAATTAAGGGAATTTCCAAAACAGTCATTATACATAAAGCCAGCATACATCGAAAAGGCACCCATTAGCAAAATGATGTAGCGACCACCAAACAGCATGGTCCATATCTATAAAACGCATTTTTCAGTAGACTTGTTATTATTTGTTTTATTTGATTAAAAATTTACTAATAATCTCTTGCCTCATTATCAATTTTTTTCTCTATTAAAGGCTTTTCAAAACACACAGCTGCCAAAGCAGCAGAAAACATGAGGAACCCATGTCCAATATCACCAAACATGACTCCAAAAAGAAAAGGAAAGGTTATGACAGCAAATGGCACTAGTGTTAATAAATTGAGTTAATTAAATTATTTAAAAAAAAGTAATGGTGTGATAAATTTTGTCAGTATTTACTTGGATTTATTTCCTGGTAACTAGGCACTCCATAAGCATCTATTATATTTTGAAACGCTTGTGTAAATTTGTTCTGTTCAAAATATGTTGGAGGAATATCATCAGTTGCTTGTATTTGGACGATAGTTTTCATATCACCCTTTGATTCCTAGAAAATAAAAAAAATTCACTTAAAAATGGTTTACTCATTGTATGATATATTTTTATTATTGTTTGCGATTGATTAAATTATTAATAATCCGGCTGTCTTTAAGAGAGCAAAAGTATTCCAACCAGCAGGATGGCTGAAGCATAAGAAAATTAAAAAATTGCTACTTGGGAGGGTGAAAATTAAAATTTTGGCAAAACGCATTAAGTGCCCAGATTTCTAATTTACGTTACGATGTGATTGTGATCAGCATATCGTGTTTTTTTATACTACTATAAGGTTAGGTTTTTACAGTCTATACTGGGCATCTTTGAAGCTCAATATTATGATATTTTAGTATTTCTTCAATTCCATTGTTTTGTGGTTGCTCCCACTGAAGCGTTTACAAGGTGGAATTGTCTGGGACTTGGTACGGGCTAGGGTGATCTGAGATGATGGGGGCTCTGGCTACCTTGTCTGACACCCTGAGCTTATGTATTCGGCATGTAGACGAAAGTTGCTCACATAACTGAAGGGTGTCATTCCTTGGCTCCATATAGAGATGGTGTAGGAATGTTACCCAATATTGTACTTGAGCTCAGCAGCATGTGTTTGAGCTCTGGTTCTGATTTTTGGAGGCAATAAAGATATTTTATTTTATATAGTACTGGTATATATTTTATTTTCTGTTCCTTTTGTGCATATTGAAAGTGAATATATATATTAGCTAAATTGTGCAGTGTTAGAGAACCAATGGAATATTGAGAACCCATCGACCCTCAATTAGATTATAGTTTTATAGAATTTATAGGTTTAAAAACTGCATGCATTGGTGATTGAAAGGAACTAGCTGTTGACAGCCCCTGGAGCTTAACTTCAATGGCGTGACGGTTAAGATTGAGGTATGATCCCAGACTGCCAAAATATGAGCATATGCATGTGAAGTTGAGCTTATACGGATAAATTGATCTATTTCATTATTGTTTTAGTTTTAATTGTAATTAATTAAGGTTTTGGTTGAGATAAAAAAGTCAATGGCACGAGCGGGATTCGAACCCATGATCTTCAGCTGAGGTGGGGTTGAGATGGGAAGTTAGTGTCCGAGTGGATCGAAGTCACGATAGCTCAAGTGGTAGAGCAGCGGTGTATCTAGCCGAAGATCGTGGGTTCGAATCCCGCTTGTGCCATTGACTTTTTTATCTCAACCAAAACCTTAATTAATTGAAAAGAATTTATTTGGTCAAGCAGACGAAACCTAATAAAATTTAATTGTAATATATTTTATGGTATTTAAATTTTTTGTGAACTTACACTTTTTGAAAGCACTTCCTTTAATTTATTAACTTTTTTCTCTGGTACCCAACATTGAGCTATGTATATACTTTTATTAGTGTCTGTGTCCATACTGTTGAGTGTATTATATATAGCTTTTGCTTTTTTGAGTTTTTTATTCCAGCAATCATGCTGCTTTGCTACTGCTTTCAATTCTTGATCTTGCTGGTCCAATACACTAACCAATGTCTGTAACACAATTAAAAATTTATTGCAATCAAATTAAAGCTCTGGATAAATTCTTACCTGTTGGATGTCACGTATTTGGTTTTCACAGTCTTTTATAAGTTCAATACATTTTGACCTTTCATTCGGGATTCTCAGAGTAATTGCTTTGTAAGACTTGCTCAGGCTTTCGATTTTGTTTGGAATCCCAGTTCCATGGCAAAATATAATAAATTCAGTCCTCGGTTCCTAAATATTTATTCAATGACCACATAGACGATTTTATTTTATAAATACTTACAGTATTACGCTCTTTAGAAGGGTAGTTAGGAGCTGTATGAAGTATGAAATTTCCTCGGCATATTCTTGAAATGACAGTTTCAAAAGTATAGGCACGAGAAGTTGAAATAATGCCTCCAATTATTCTAAAGATTGTATTGAATTAAAACTAAGTTAAAAAGATATATTCATTTTCTTAAATATATACGTTATTATATTTTCTCCTTTAAAAGCCTCTTGTCTACCACTCTCATCTGTTGATGAAGTAATATTCGTCTTATTCAAACCCTAGTTTAATTAAAAAATAAAATAAATAAAAACAAATTCCCTAAAACAATATTTACTTACTGAACTCATTAATTTCAGAGTGAGTTGAAGAATACTTCTGCAATCTTGATTTAATCCTAGATTTTCCTTAATTTTTTCGACATCTGATGCTACCTCAGAAATACTATCTGTTACTTTCTAAAAAAAATATAATCCTAAAAAGGTAATCCTTTTTCAAATGGGTCAAATAAATTCAAAAACTTACACGAAGGATGTCCATATCCTCAATGTTACTGCTCTACAACATTAAATAAAAGTTAAATTCACTAATTTCGTGGTCCGCTTGACCAATTAATATATTACAATTAATTAAGGTTTTTAGTTGAGATAAAAAAGTCAATGGCACTAACGGGATTCGAACCCACGATCTTCGGCTAGATACGCCGCTGCTCTACCACTTGAGCTATCGTGCCTCGATCCTCTCGGACACTAACTTCCCATCTCAACCCCACCTTTTGAATTTTCCCTCATTTTTGCCATTTTTCGAATGCCCTTTAATCGGATTGGATTCTCGGCGACAATTCCGATTACACGACATTTGAAAAATGGCAAAAAGGAGGGAAAATTCAAAAGGTGGGGTTGAAATGGGAAGTTAGTGTCCCAGTGGATCAAGGTCACGATAGCTCAAATGGTAGAGCAGCGGCGTATCTAGCCGAAGATCGTGGGTTTGAATCCCGCTAGTGCCATTGACTTTTTTATCTCAACTAAAAACCTTAATTAATTGTATTAAATAAAAGTCTGAAAAAACTAGATAAAAAAATTTAAAAAGCTCATTTCAACTTACGGCAAGGTCTAAAATTTCTCTCTCGGATGGAGCCTCAACCGCTTTTTTACATTTGGGAATTTTAATATTGTTATTTGTTAAAATTTTAGTTAGTATTTCTAACTTCTGTTCAAGAGCATCTATTGCTTTAATTTGGGCAGCGAATTTTCTGAGGTGAGGATTCTGATCTTCGTTTAACTAAAAATTATTTGGGGAAAAAGATAACTTAATAAGACCATTATTTAATTTATATTAATTATGAAATTTCTTAAAATTATACTGCATAAGCATATAATGGATTAAAAGTAATTGAGAGGTTGACTGTAGTAAAAATTAGTTCACGTCATTCAGGAAAAGAGGTCAAACCATTTTAACATTTTTTAATTTAAATTAATTCATATTAATCTTAACTAAAATTTCAAGGGCTATGTCAGATTTGAAACAGACCCAACAGTCCAGTTGGTCTAAATTGAAGTTAGGCCTAGATTTAAGTACCAATAATTCTTCTATCTTCTTACGATTAGGATCAAATCTTTTAAAAATTTCTAACTCAATTTTAACTTTTTAGATATTGTTGCACCCCACCCGATGCCTAACCAGCAAGCGCTTGAGTTCTACGCCCTGGTCCTGGCTTCATAAAGATCCATCCAAGGTTTATGAAGGTGAGGTCTCACCATCACATGCTCAGCCTCATCGGCAAAGACCCAAGGTCTTGCCATGCAAGGTTCTCAACCCGAGGCTGTTTCTGGCTGTGCTAAGACATATATAAGACTGGCCTTTACCAGAAACCATCATTTAAGAGTCAGAGTCAGATAGATGGAGAGACCTGTTACCTGAGTCTGAATGTTATCTTCTAGAGGAGTTCCTCAGTAGAAGATGGCCAGCATCTGCCACCTACAATACCTATGGCCCAGCGTAACTGGTCTTCCTTCATTGCAAGCTGAGCAATAAAACTTTTAAGCAAGGGCACCAACCCTTAAACTAACGCATTTATTCAATTAATTTCTTTTTCCCATATAAGACCGTCCTACTACTCCTAATGATTTTCTTTTTGATTATATTTAAAATAGAGACCCTTATTTTTAGAGTTAGAAAGACTCTACACCAAAAGAAACATATTTGTGGTGGCTAGGGTATGTAAAATGTAAAATATATGTAAAAAAGTATGTAAAATAGTATATTTCGTAATACTGTATGAAAATAAATTTTACAGGCCTATACATCATTATTTATCTTTGTGTTCGGGCTATTATCATTAGCAACATTTCAGTTTACCCTGAAAACTTACATCCTGAAACTGCACAATACCAACTTCGCCTAGGTTTGCGACACTATCGAATGCAGCCGAAGGGTCTATTAAAATGTTGCACAAATTCATTTTTTCACTTCTCAAAAACCGCATCTTGTCTGATTTACTTGTGACAGGCAAACTTCAGGCAATCACTAAAAGATATACAAAATTCCTCTATTCATACTTGTTAAATCAGGTGATTCAATGTTGTTTTTGTTTTCAGAAAAAACAAAACAAAAAAACTGAAGTTTACCATTGAAAGAACAAAAATAATGATAAACTTTGCATTTATTGAGAATTTTATATTATGCTTTATTTTTATATTAAATGCTTTGCTCATACTCAGAAGACAATACACTACGAACATGAAATTTTTAATTTATTATCACATATGCAACCAACTATATTAAACTACTTAAATGTTTAAATCATTTTGTTAAAATTTTTATTAATTTTTTGTAGTCAAAAATTTTGACTATTTAGATTTCAATTGATGTAATCTGTGTTCGATGCGATGTAGCAACAATCATCAACATGGCAAATCTGAATAGTTATGACTTTGTATCTGCTTTCGTCTAACTTATCTTTGAAAACCATTTCGATACCCACGTTAAGTTCATAGTCACTTGATTTTAGTGGAATGGTATCAAGAGGAATGACAGATTCTCCACCACCCATCTTTTTATTTGAACTGAGCACATACAGGCTGCCTAAATGCTCTCTGCACTTGAGCGGTGCGAGTACCTTGTGACAGAACAGTTCAAGGGAAACTGTCAGACTCTGTTGGTTTGCAGGATCGGGATTTTTTTGTGCTTCCCTGCTGTACATTATCCTTAATTCAGGTGTGTTCTGGGACCACATTTTATTTTCAAAAAGTTCAAAATTGTTATTTACGGTGTTAATGTAATTCAAAACATTATTCCATCTTATGTGGTTTCTTATGTACTTTAGAAGTAAGAACATGTCTGTGATATTTGCATGGCTTTCTGACAGGATGGGTGGTGAGGAAAGGCTTGAAATATCCATCGCTTCGTACGTTCCATTAAGCTTGCAGTGATTTTCGCCCATGTGTGGATTCAAGACAAGCTGATAATCAAAGTTTGTGTAGCATTCCAGTGTATCGACGATTTTCTTACCAAACCAAGAAAACGGAAGGTGGATGGAACGCTTTATTATTTCCGGCTCTATTATGGAATCAAAGTTATCAAGAAAATTGTCAATGAGAACAAACAGCTCAGACACATTGTGCGAGTTGTCACTATTATTTTTCAATGTCATGATTTGATTGATACAATCGAATATCTTGCCACCATGAAAGAAAAACATATTTGATATAATATAATCCAGACAATTGGCTTCTAACATTTTCACTTCGGATTTAAGAATGTGGAGGATTCTCAAGTATCCATCATTTGTTTTTCTTCTCGATCTCTTGAAATACCCTATTTCACGTTCTATTGATATTCTCAACGACAAGAATTTTTGATTCATCATTGAACCGATAACATAGTAGAACCAACGGCACACGCATCTTATGCTGGACAACTCTGTGTACGACAAATGGTTAAATATTATTTCCATGACAGTATCGGGAAGGAGAAATATTTCAGCATTGGAATTGTAAGTCTTAGGGCTTATGAATGTTGCTTGTGTCACAACAGGATAAGAATGATACCTGCACATATGCTGGCCACAATCCATTACAAATTTCTTGAAAACAAATAGTAATGCCGAAAAGCAAGGAGTCAAAAGTTAAAAAAATGTATAATACAATAATTTTGGTAACAGGAATTGTTTGTTTTTTTTAATCAACAAAACTTAACTAAACTTAACAAATGTTGTTTTAAAACTAAAAACATTTATGGGTTACATAATTGTTAGGTTAAAAATAAAATGTACAACAAATGTTTCTGCTTCAAAAAATAAGCAAAATTAATATTTAAAAAAAATAATACTTTAAAAATGACAAAGAATTAAGGTTTATTTTTCTTCAATATAAAACAAAGAAAGAAAAAACCAAAGACACAAACATATGTATTAAAAAAAAAAAAAACACCCAAAAAACAAACATTTTGTTGGATAAAGAATTGTGACTATTTATAATCAAGACATAACTACTAATGACTTAAAGATACATATTTCTTTTACATTCGAGAAAATACCATCTGGGTAAATCCCGACGAGGCAGAAGTGTCCAACTGGGTAATGGTTGTACAAGGGAATCAAGAGTGACAAAGATCAAAATAACATTTGCATTCTATTTTCATTGGTTATAGATAGTAAATAGGCAATAATGGAATAAGAATAATACAAATGGGAAAGATCTAGGAAAGTTTAGAAATGATGGGACTTTACTAGAGCTCACAGTTGTCACTCGAATCAGCAAAATTTCCTTTATGCCCTCCATCATTAAATAAAACATTAAGGTGTTGCCTGGGTTTTCTGTAGCCAAGGTAAAACCAAAGCCAGCAAGGATGTAATCATAGGATTTGGGATGTTATCAGAAAGCCGAGCCTCTTTGACCGAGCATTTCTCAGAATTTTTGCATATAACCTTCAACCATCCAAAAACCAAGACAAAGATGTTTTGAGTTACTTTGCTAAGGTTTCTAGTAAGTTTAAAGCAGTTTCTGGATTGTCTGAAATTTGTTTTTAAAAGTTTTACCCAGCATGTACCCAGTTTTACTTTTTTATTTATTTATTTTTACCCAGTTGGATTCTTTACTGTCCTATTTATCCAGTTGGAAAACACCCTTGTATTAATTTTAATTTTGAATTTTTTTATGCCAGGGTTTGCAAAGCGGAAGTCATATCAACCCTATCAACCTAACCTATAAAAAAACATCTCCAAGGCTCTAAGGTCTTTGTCACCGAGGTACATAGCCTTATCAGCAAGGTCTTATTATTCTAGGTTCGTAACATGAGGCCAGGGTATAAGAATGTACCAGACACCAGAGACAGTCAAATTGTGAGAATGAGTCAAAATCTGGTTCAGTGTCAGATAGGTGGAGAGTCTGATAGCACTTGTCACATGAGTCTGAAGGTTATCTTTCAAAGAAGCCCCTTAGCAGAAGAGGGCCAGCAATCTGCCACCTCCAAGACCTACGACTTACTTAACAATGGTTCTCCCTCACATGAAGACTGCATGCTGAGCAATAACTTAGTGTAAGCAAGGGGCACCAACCCTTAAACTGAATCATTTATTTGATTAAGTCCTTTTTCCTATCAAGGCCTACTCCTTTAGAAGATTCTTGAGGGCTCACGAGACAAAAAGCCACATTATTGTGTTTAGGTAAGTTTGTGTTGTTCAATTGATCCTCTCAATTTAGAATATTGTAAGTTAGTTGAGGTAGTGTAGATCAAATTTATAGCTTCATGGCTCCTTGTACAAGAGTTAGTGAAATCACATTGAAACATTTGGCTGACTGAATACCTCTGGCGAAGAAATGCTACTTGAATAATTTGGCTTGTTGTCCAATTACTGTAAACACAAAGAAAAGCAGTGTTGAAGTTGTTAAGGTGTCCATTTGTATTTGCCTTGCTAGCAGTTTTGCATTCGAATCCTGGTAGAGCACATGGCCTTGAAATTGATTATAGTATGAAAAATGTATTACCCAACACAACACCCAACAACTGTTGAATGCTAAGTCTACCGCTATGGAATGAGCTTAATATAATTTATATTATATTTATATTACAATTAATTAAGGTTTTTAGTTGAGATAAAAAAGTCAATGGCACGAGCGGGATTCGAACCCACAATCTTCGGCTAGATACGCTGCTGCTCTACCACTTGAGCTATCGTGACCTCGATCTACTCGGACACTAACTTCCCATCTCAACACCACCTTTTGAATTTTCCCTCCTTTTTGCTTACTCAACATTTGAAAAATAACAAAAAGGAGGGAAAATTCAAAAGGTGGGGTTGAGTTGGGAAGTTAGTGTCTGAGTGGATCGAGGTCACGATAGCTCAAGTGGTAGAGCAGCAGCGTATCTAGCCGAAGATTGTGGGTTCGAATCCCGCTCGTGCCATTGACTTTTTTATCTCAACTAAAAACCTTAATTAATTGTAATATATTAGTTGGTCAAGCGGACCAAGAAATTAGTGAATTATATTTACAATTTAACAAAACAATTTGTTATTTCTTACATGATTTGTTTGGCATTAATTAATGTCAGATTATTATAATAAATATATTATTTATTTATGCTTTCTACATCATGACCATTTTGATTTTGGTCATTTTTAGTGTTATTTTCCATTTTGTGAAAATCCATTTTTTTTGTGTTTATAAACAAATAACTAATAGTAATAACATTTATTACGGATATTTTGTTTAACTTGTAATTTGGCCATTACCCATTACTGCACTGTGAGAATAGGCAGACCAAAACAATCAGTAATGACCAAATTACAGTTTCATGCGCAGACTACACAGAAAAATCAGACAATTATGTTTAACTGTCAAGGTGGAATGATTGTAAAAGCTTAATTGGGTTAAAAATGGGGAACAATACATTTCGATTATTTCTGAAAATCCCTTAAGTCACAAACATTGTCAAAATGTAGCTGATGCTTTATTTTGTCAATATTTTTGTAAGAAAAAGATCCAGGTTGATCAAAATATGAATTTTTAAAAATTAATTTACAAATTAACCATATTTGTACTTTGTTTTTTCACAACTGGGTAATTTTATCCTTTACATTATTAATGTAACTATAGTAACGAAAAAACATCCAAACCCATTTAACTTTCGAACTAATAAAAAAAAATTTACAGTTTACATATAAAAAGAAAAAAAAAACATAAAATTTAATAATGGTCGTGGTCAGGGTTAATTTGGCAGAATTGCCAATTGAGATTCTCGAACAAATAGTTGCTGAACTGGACCCAGATGAGGTAATAAAACCAATTTTCTTTTTTGAAACATAAGATATGTTAATGAGGTTCCGTTGGTCTGAAAGTGGATGAACACACTACTTGAACTCACTTAAATGATCATCTTACTGGGTCCATCTATCTCGCTTGTTTCTTATTTTTCTCTTATATGCATTTCATCTTCATTGAGAAACTAGTGAGAATATATGTATGCAGTATTGTAATCAGTGTTTATGAGTTCAACATAAAAAAAATCTTGTAGCTTGATTGTCTTTAATCATTTTGGTCTGTTAATTCTTGTCGGTTGTTCTGTCAACAGTGTTTCATCTGTTACAGACAAAACCAGTACATGTAGATAAAGGGTTATGAGAGCTAATCAAACTAGAATTTTTTTTCAACTTCAGGAGTTAGAATTGCTTATACCAAACGTTTATAATACTCAAAATTCATTGTAAATTAAATTTCTCCAGGTTGTCACTTCAGTAAGCAAGATAAGTACAAAATTTGCTACAATCGCCTACAGGGTCATGAGGAAGGAATTTCGAAAGTTAGCACCTATGATAGAATCACAGCTGAATGCGACAAAGACTAGGATATCAGCATCGGCCGGAGACCCTAGATCACTTCAAGCAGAGATGAAAGAAGTTGCCAATTTCACGTTTCTTCAGGTATTTTACTTCAGGTAGAATAATTCGAAGTGGCAAACCTGCCAGCTTTAAATTTTCTTTTCTAATTCAACGCTCATATTTTTTTCAGATAATGAAATCCGAGTACAACATTATTTGCACGATATATTTTGAAGAGAATTCTTTAAGCCAAAGCACACTTGTGTTCAAAGCTGTGAAAAGCCTGCAGGAATTTCAGAGATTATTAAAAGGATCGGAAAATAGTTCTATTAACATTAAAGATGACAATGTTTCATCACTTATGAATGAACTAAGAACTATTAACTCTGAATTATTAAGTTATTTCTTTGTACATACATGGGATATGGAAAAGGTGAAAGAAAATTGTAACCATTTTTAAAATGTAATTGTGATAAACATGAAATGTTGTAGGACCACATGGGATTATTGATACTGAAGTTTTTAAATTGCTCACTCTGCTCCAATTCTTGTGTTCGTATTTCGTATGAACAAACTCCAAAATATAAAGATTCAAGATGCTACATCAGTGGGTAAATTTTTTTTTCATCGACCATACATTATTTATATTATAAAATTATTTGAAATTTAATTTTTAAATATTTTCTAGTAATTTTGAAATTGTAGACTTCAGCAATACTGTTGTTCCACCGCCACTAGGCCTTCAGCAAATGCCACAGAACGAAGCGAGACGAGCACTCGCCTCATACATCTGTGAAACAATACGATGGGGTAATTTATTTCATACACTCCGTTTACGTTGGGTGAGTTAGAAAACAACAATTAATTTTTTTTATATGAAAAACTAAGTATCAAATTATTGCCTGTTTTATAGATATGCATGGACAGAGCACTGGCCATGGGAAGACGACAGTATCCAGGATGGCCTCTTCTCGACGCTAAAAATGTTTACATATCTGGACCACCAAAAGTCAACGTTAGGGAAGAAGTCAAAGAAGTGCGTAAAGGAGAAATGAAAGTTCTGCGCTATATCGATAAAAGGATGGAACAAATGAATCTCGATTCAGACAACTGGGTTGGAACAAGGTTTGAAATGACCTGCTATATTAAGGTTAAAAAAAAATCCATACTCATAAACTGAATTATATTTAGGGTTGATTTCCAACTGTGGTGTCTGTCAGAAGAAGCTCCACCAGATATGTTTCCCGAGGCTTATTTGGCCAAGCTCGGAGAACTTCCGGAAATGGACCTCAACGAGAACACAGATAGTGGAGCGTATCTAGTTCCGTACAGGTTTTTGATGGAGTACAAAGTGTACTCCGCTGCTCAAAGCACGCACAATAACAGCCTTGCCCAATCGACCATTTGGTTACAAGAGACAGCGGGATCGACCAAAATAATTCAAAGTAGGCAACTTCTGGCAGCATAATGTTGATCAATGCTTCAAAATAAACATGATACTATCAATAAAATTTTTAACACATAAAATTTTTTAAAGTTATTTTTTCAAACAAGAATTAAATTTGTAGATTTATTGTTGAACTGTCATCATACATTCTGACTTAAACTATTGAAACAATCTTAATAAGAATTAGTAAAATACAGCTCACAATTGCTACACCCTTGGTACAATTAACTATAAAACAAAAACATCATAATAAAAAATAAACCTCTGAAACAGACAATAATTGTATCACATTCAATACAAATTAACTATTATCCTTGGTAAAATGAAAACATTTGATACAACAAAAAATTTATTAAAACAGAATTGAGAGACTGTGGTACATACAAAACTGTTAAATGTTAACTACACATATGGACTTATATACCCTTTGGTTCAAGATAAAATACATTACCGCTAATTTCACAAACCCTACCAACTACTGTAAAGCAGCTGATTGGAAAGGTCACATCAATAACATATACAGGAAAGGAACTATAACAATGGTACAATGTAGGAGAATTGTCGGTAAAACATGGGGCATCAAACCATGAGTAGCTAAATGGCTATATACTGCAATTATTCTACCTAGATTATTTTCTGCAGATTTAGTATGGTGGAAGGTGTAGAAAATAAAGGGAACAGTAACAAATTAAGGTCATTGCAAATACTAGGTTGTTTGATGATGACAGGAGCATTTTCAACTATACAAACCCTAGCACTTGAAATCATAACTAATACCACACCTCTTCACATTGAGGTTAAGGTCAGAGCACTAATCAGCTGCTACAGATTAATTAGCGAGAGCAGCTGGAATCATAAGTGCAATAACATAGGCCACTCGAAAATCTCACAACTATTGAGCAAGGTTAACGGTCAATTATTAAGTGTTAGTGATAAAAAGATTAAAACCCCTTCGGGGAAAAAGCACTTTCAGGTCATCCCTTGTGATTACAATTATAGTTTGGATGATGACCATCGTAACATAGACCGCTACACAGATGGTTCACTTATCAAAGGTAGAAGGAGTGGTGCAGGAATCTACATACCAAAATTAGGAATCAGCTTCTCCTCCCCTCTTGGTAATAACACCTCCGTTTTTCAGGCGGAAATCTGGGCCATTATTGTGTGTTGTAGAATACTTATGGAAAATAAAATTAAGGGAAAAGATATTAGAATTTTTTCTGACAGTTAGGTTAGTCTTAGGTCATTACAAAAAGATTTGTCAAACTCACGACTGGTGGAGGAAACTGCAGCTCTTATCAATAGGATCTCTTCCAGGTTTGAGAAAAGGTAACTCTTATTTGGATACCAGCACATAAAGGACACCATGGCAATGAACAAGCAAGGAAACGGATGGCCTGGCCAAAGAAGGTTCTAATACTGTGTTTGTCGGGCCACAACCGGTATTACCTCACTCTATAAGCACAGCGAAAGAGAGTATTAATAATTGGGGCATGAAACAATTCCTTAGGGAGTGGAATTTATTCCCTGGACACAGGCAATCGAAAGAGTTTGTTAAGGCGATCAAACCAACAGAAACGAAATTCTCTATCTCAAGGAAGAGAATTAGGAGGCTGATAGGTATTGTGACAGGCCACTGCCCACTGAGAAGACACCTCTCCATAATCGGTATTCTACCAGATCCCTTTTGCCATTTTTGCGAAATAAAAGAAGAAACGGCAAGGCACTACCTAGGTATGCTAGGTCTAGATTTGAAATCTTTGAAGGAGAGGACATCACCAAATCACTCCCTGAGATTAAGTGGTCCAAAATCTTGGGGTGAACAGGTTCAAGAGATTTATGCAGGACACGTGAGCCGACCAAGTCCCGGACCTTTTAGGGATGGGGTACGAGTCTACCCAGGCATTTAACCCCTCGGGTCTTGGTCGCCCACCCTGCATAATATTGTAAAACTGGACACCAGAAACATCGTGGCCCGACGAATCCCCTCGAACCCTCCTCACTGACTGAAGAAACAATCAGAGATCTAGGAAGTGATGGTGATGATAGTGGTGTGAAAGTGATAACACAAGTATCAATTAAACAGACTATTTTTAGTATCAATGATTTAAAACTAATGGGTATTTTCTCCACTCTTGTTTTTAATTTTGTATATATTACCTTGCACATCGTTACATGTTACCTACTTGAAGGTAATTGTAATGCACTACAAAATAAATAAATATAAAAAAATAAATAAAAAAATGGTAGGAAAATACATCAGGTTGACAGTAAAAAAATACAAGCACAATAAAAATGGCACGGCACTAAAGACCAACACTCACGCCACACAAGAAAATCGTGCGGGATTAGTCTATTGTACATTTGACTATTTCCATCAATTGGGATAAGAAGTTTAGTATTTTTATCTTTTTTCAAATACAGCTCCAATCAAAAGACCAAAATAAAAGAGGTTGATTTTATGATTATTTAGAGATCGTGAGATGCGGTCTGGTGTGAAGTAGGTTTTAGAAAATCATTTTCTTTGTCGTGCCAACGTTTCGATCTTTATTGAGATCATCTTCAGAGCCCGTAATTTATAAACATTGTTTAAATTATACAAAATAAAAGAGGTTGATTTTATGATTATTTAGAGATCGTGAGATGCGGTCTGGTGTAAAGTAGGTTTTAGAAAATTATTTTCTTCGTCGTGCCAACGTTTCGATCTTTATTGAGATCATCTTCAGAGCCTGTAATTTATAAACATTGTTTAAATTATACAAAATAAAAGAGGTGATTCTATTATTATTTAGAGATCGTGAGATGCGGTCTGGTGTGATGTAGGTTTTAGAAAAACATTTTCTTTAGGTGCCAACGTTTCGATCTTTTTTGAGATCATCTTCAGGGACTGGAATTTATAAACTTGTTTAAATTATACAAAATAAAAAAAGGTTGATTTTATGATTATTTAGAGATCGTGAGATGCAGTCTGGTGTGAAGTAGGTTTTAGAAAATTATTTTCTTTGTCGTGCCAACGTTTCGATCTTTATTGAGATCATCTTCAGAGCCTATAATTTATAAACCTTGTTTAAATTATAGAAAATAAAAGAGGTTGATTTTATGATTATTTAGAGATCGTGAGATGCGGTCTGGTGTGATGTAGGTTTTAGAAAAACATTTTCTTTAGCGTGCCAACGTTTCGATTTTTATTGAGATCATCTTCAGAGCCTGGAATTCATAAACACTGTTTAAATTATACAAAATAAAAGAAGTGGATTTTATGATTATTTAGAGATCGTGAAATGCGGTATGGTGTGATGTAGGTTTTAGAAAAGCATTTTTTTTATCGTGCCAACATTATCCAATAAAAGAGTAGCATTGTTCGAAGTTGCTGAAGATAGAGAACAGCGGAGTATCAGCCAATGCTAGGGGGACGGAGTTCACCAAGTTCATTGATGATGATGGATGTTATATCCGAAAAATAATAAATACTTTTTACGACCCAGAAAAAAGTTATTATCCCTTTCATGATCAGGCACTGGGAAAAATTTTCTCTACTCAAGCACCACACTGTATTTTCGAGTATTCCCGACATCCTTACAAATGGGATTTTTTTCAAAAACATCGGCACCTCGAGGGTTCATATAACCTCGTAGTTGAAATACCCTAGTAAAAAAAAAATCTTTCATAAAAATATTAATTAATTGAAAGAAGTCGTCAATAGACTATTGGATTATAATTTATATTCAATGGCAAAAATATACAATAAAATGGATTTTAAAAGAAAGTGCCATAACTTGATTTTAGAACTAGAGCTATATGATGAGATGTCATGATGATGTACATTTTTTAATCTAATTATGTATTACGTCACCTTATGCAAAATATAAACTGTTTTTTCCTCTAAATAAAGTTTTTTTAAAAGTTGATTCGTAATAATAATTATTTCTTGAAGGTATAGTTCAGAGAAGCTCTCAATGTCTCAACGAACGGATCAAATTCGTCCGACGTGGGAGCGGCGTTAAACGCGAGTTATTTCCATACAAAACGGAACTTTGATTGAGCCGAGATAGTTCCAGAGGTTTTGGGCACGTTCGATATCGAATAGCCTAGACTAGTTGGCAAACATAAGTTCGTAGGAAATAGGCGTTACTACTATTAATTCCGTATAATGGAAGGGGGTGAAGCATTATAGGAAGAACGTGTCGGGCCTAGTCCCGTCCTGGCTCACAGCGAATAACAAAAGATACTTTTAACAATGCCATGCTTTCATCATAAAAAACCAATAAGTTAAATTTGTTGTAAAATGCCAGAAGTTCAACATGTTAAAAATAAACCTATAAAGCTAGCTCAAGTGGTATAGGGTAGCGGCGTATTTAGCCCAAGGTCGTGGGTTCGAATCCCGCTCGTAGCTAACTTTTTCATTCAACCAAAACCTTACATAAAGATTAATTGAAAGAAGTAATTTGGTCAATAGACCACTACAATAATTTAATAGATTTAATAAAACTTCACTAACAGCACCTCGTGGCCAATTCAAACGTCGCCGAGAATCGAATCCCGATTACACGACATTTGAAAAATGGCAAAAAGGAGAGCAAACTCGAAAGGTTGTAGGTTGAGATGGGGTGTCCTGGTGGATCCAAGTCACGATAGCTCATGCGTTAGAGAAGCGGCATATTTAGCCGAAGCTCGTAGGTTCGAATCCCGCTCATGACACTGACTTTTTTATTTCAACCACTACCTTACATAAAGATTAATTGAAAGAAGTACTTTGGTCAATAGACTACTAAATATAATGGGGTTAAAAATAAATTCAAATGTAAGTTGTTTTTGCGTTATTGCATTATCATAAACAAACACACAAAGGCTATTGCAAATCAAAACAGTAAAAACTAAACTATAACAAAATTTCTAAAGTAAAGTTATATTCAGCTTTGCTTCGAGAATATTTAGCCGAAGGTCGTGGGCTCGAATCCCGCTCAAGACACTGACTTTTTTATTTCAACCAATACCTTACATAAATTCACTAATTTCGTGGTCCACTTGACCAATTAATACATTACAATTAATTAAGGTTTTTAGTTGAGATGTAAAAAAG